TGCTACAGGCTACACGGGGGATCTTTGTCTGTGTGTAGGTGCTACTCACAGCACTTGCCCCTACAGCCTGCTAGAGGCTACAGGGGGCAGCTTTGTCTGTGTGTAGGTGATAATCACAGCACTTGCCCCTACATCCTGCTAGAGGCTACACGGGGGATCTTTGTCTGTGTGTAAGTGCTGACAGCACTTGCCCCTACAGCCTGCTAGAGGCTACCTGGGAGATCTTTGTCCGTGTGTTGGTGCTACTGACAGCACTTGCCCCTACAGCCTGCTAGAGGCTACACGGGGGATCTTTGTCTGTATGTAGGTGCTACTAACAGCACTTGCCCCTACAGCCTGCTAGAGGCTACACGGGGGATCTTTGTCTGTGTGTAGATGCTACAGACAGCACTTGCCCCTACAGCCTGCTAGAGGCTACACGGGGGATCTTTGTCTGTGTGTAGGTGCTACTGACAACACTTGCCCCTACAGCCTGCTAGAGGCTACACGGGGGATCTTTGTCTGTGTGTAGGTGCTACTCACAGCACTTGCCTCTACTGCCTGCTAGAGGCTACCTGGGGGATCTTTGTCTGTGTGTAGGTGCTACTGACAACACTTGCCCCTACAGCCTGCTAGAGGCTACAGGGGGCAGCTTTGTCTGTGTGTAGGTGATAATCACAGCACTTGCCCCTACAGCCTGCTAGAGGCTACACGGGGGATCTTTGTCTGTGTGTAAGTGCTGACAGCACTTGCCCCTACAGCCTGCTAGAGGCTACCTGGGAGATCTTTGTCCGTGTGTTGGTGCTACTGACAGCACTTGCCCCTACAGCCTGCTAGAGGCTACACGGGGAATCTTTTTCTGTGTGTAGGTGTCACTTACAGCACTTGCCCCTACAGCCTGCTAGAGGCTACACGGGGGATCTTTGTCAGTGTGTAGTTGCTACTGACAGCACTTGCCTCTACAGCCTGCTAGAGGCTACCTGGGGGATTTTTGTCTGTGTGTAGGTGCTACTCACAACACTTGCCCCTACAGCCTACTAGAGGCTACCTGGGGGATCTTTGTCTGTGTAGGTGCTACTGACAGCACTTGCCCCTTCAGCCTGCTAGAGGCTATACGGGGGATCTTTGTCTGTGTGTAGATGCTACAGACAGCACTTGCCCCTACAGCCTGCTAGAGGCTACACGGGAAATCTTTGTCTGTGTGTAGGTGGTACTAACAGCACTTGCCCCTACAGTCTGCAAGAGGTTACCTGGGGGATCTTTGTCTGTGTGTAGGTGCTACTGACAGCACTTGCCCCTACAGCCTGCTAGAGGCTACACGGGGGATCTTAGTCTGTGTGTAGGTGCTACTGACAGCACTTGCCCCTACAGCCTGCTAGAGGCTACACGGGGGATCTTTGTCTGTGTGTAGGTGCTACTGACAGCACTTGCCCCTACAGCCTGCTAGAGGCTACACGGGGGATCTTTGTCTGTGTGTAGGTGCTACAGACAACACTTGCCCCTACAGCCTGCTAGAGGCTACCTGGGGGATCTTTGATTATTGGTCACTCACAGCCATCAACAACAGACAGACCGCCAGTGTGGGATTGATAATGAATCTTCGTTTATTGATCACTCACAGACACCAACATCCATGTGTGTCTAAGTGTGTCTAAGTGTGTAAGTGTGTCTGTGTGTCTAAGTGTGTCTGTGTGTGTCTAAGTGTGTCTGTGTTTGTGTCCGTGTGTGTGTCTGTATCTGTGTGTGTGTCTATGAGTGTGTGTCTGTGTGTGTATCTGTGTGTGTCTGTGTGTGTGTCTGTGTATCTGTGTGTCTATGAGTGTGTGTCTGTGTATCTGTGTGTCTATGAGTGTGTGTCCGTGTGTGGGTCTGTGCGTGTATCTGTGTGTGTCTATGAGTGTGTGTGTATCTGTGTGTCTATGAGTGTGTGTCCGTGTGTGGGTCTGTGTGTGTATCTGTGTGTGTGTCTATGAGTGTGTGTGTATCTGTGTGTGTCTATGAGTGTGTCTATGAGTGTGTCAACTTGTGCATAGTGCACCTAGGCTGGCACAAGCGCTTTGGTGGTCCCACTCCCACCAACTATATTGTACAGCTGATGAGACACTCAATGTGGAAGCCCAAGATCATCAACAGTAGGGAGTTTTCCACTCACTCAGCCACTTACTAACTCAGCCACTCACTCACTCATCCACTCACTCAGCCACTCACTCACTTACTCAGCCACTTACTAACTCAGCCACTTACTAACTCAGCCACTCACTTACTCAGCCACTCACTCACTCAGCCAGTCACTCAGCCACTTACAAACTCACCCACCCACTCACTCAACCACTCACTCAATCAGTCACTCAGACACTTACTCAGCCACTCACTGACTCAGCCACTCACTGACTCAGCCACTCACTGACTCAGCCACTCACTCAGCTACTCACTCACTCAGCCACTCACTCGCTCACTCATCATGTGTAGGCGGTCACCAGCACTGCTCCAGGCAGAGCTGATGAGACACTGAATGCCAAATCCTCGTACACTCTGCAGTGCTGCCATCTACTGGCAGTACAGCAACATTGGACTCACTCAGCTACTCACTCAGACACTGACTCACTCACCCAGCCACTCACTCACCCAGCCACTCACTCGCTCAGACACTCACTCGCTCAGACACTCTCTCAGCCACTCACTCACACACTCACTCACTCACCCACTCACTCACTCACCCAGCCACTCACTCACCCAGCCACTCACTCGCTCAGACACTCTCTCAGCCACTCACTCACACACTCACTCACTCACCCACTCACTCACTCAGCCACTCACTCACTCTACAATTCACTCACCCAGCTACTCACTCAGACACTGACTCACTCACTCACTCAGCCGCTCACTCACCCAGCCACTCACTCAGACACTCACTCACTCAGCCACTCACTCACTCAGCCACTCACTCACCCAGCCACTCAGACACTCACTCACTCAGACACTGGCCTCACTCACTCACTCAGCCACTCACTCACCCAGCCACTCACTCACTCAGCCACTCACTCACTCAGCCACTCACTCACTCAGACACTCACTCACTCAGCCACTGGCTCACTCACTCAGCCACTCACTCACTCACTCAGCCACTCACTCACTCAGACACTGGCCTCACTCACTCAGCCACTCACTCACTCAGCCACTCACTCACCCAGCCACTCACTCACTCAGCCACTCACTCACTCAGACACTCACTCACTCAGACACTCACTCACTCAGACACTGGCCTCACTCACTCAGCCACTCACTCACTCACTCAGCCACTCACTCACCCAGCCACTCACTCACTCAGCCACTCACTCACTCAGCCACTCACTCACTCAGACACTCACTCACTCAGCCACTGGCTCACTCACTCAGCCACTGGCTCACTCACTCAGCCACTCACTCAGCCACTCACTCAGCCACTCACTCATCCACTCACTCACTCACGCACTCACTCACACAGCCACTCACTCAGACAATGACTCACTCAGCCACTCACTCACTCACTCAGCCACTCACTCACTCACTGGTGGTGGTTGTGTGCTAGTTGTGGTGGTTGTGGGTTGTTGCGGTGGTGGTTGTTGTTAATCTAGTTGTGGTGGTGGTTGTGCTAATTGTGGTGATTGTTGTTGTGGTGAATGTTAAGCTAGTTGTGGTGGTTGTTGTGGGTGTGGTGGTGGTTGTGGTGGTTGTTGTAGTGGTTGTTAATATAGTTGTGGTGGTTGTTGTGCTAGTTGTGGTGGTTGTTGAAGTGGTTGTTAATATAGTTGTGGTGGTGGTTGTGCTAGTTGTGGTGGTTGTGGAGGTGATTGTTAATATAGTTGTGGTGGTTGTGGTTGTTGTGCTAGTTGTGGTGGTTGTGGTGCTAGTTGTTAATATAGTTGTGGTGGTTGTGGTGGTTGTTGTAGTGGTTGTTAATAAAGTTGTGGTGGTTGTGGTTGTTGTGCTAGTTGTGGTTGTTGTAGTGGTTGTTAATAAAGTTGTGGTGGTGGTGATTGTTGTGCTAGTTGTGGTGGTTGTTGTGGTTGTTGTAGTGGTTGTTAATATAGTTGTGGTTGTTGTGGTGGTTGTTGTGCTAGTTGTTGTGGGTGTGGTGGTTGTTGTAGTGGTTGTTAATATAGTTGTGGTGGTTTTGGTGGTGGTTATTAATATAGTTGTGGTTGTTGTGGTGGTTGTTGTGCTAGTTGTTGTGGGTGTGGTGGTGGTTGTTGTGGTTGTTAATATAGTTGTGGTGGTTGTGGTGGTGGTTGTTGTGGTGGTTGTTGTAGTGGTTGTTAATATAGTTGTGGTGGTTGTGGTGGTGGTTGTGCTAGTTGTGGTGGTGGTTGTGGTGGTGGTTTTAATATAGTTGTGGTGGTTGTAGTGGTTGTTAATAAAGTTGTAGTGGTTGTGGTGGTTGTTGTGGTTGTTAATATAGTTGTGGTGGTTGTTGTGGTTGTTAATATAGTTGTGGTGGGTGTGGAGGTGGTTGTGCGAGTTGTGGTGGTGGTTGTTGTTGTTAATAAAGTTGTGGTGGATGTGGTGGTGGTTGTGCTAGTTGTGGTGGTTGTGGAGGTGGTTGTGGTTGTTGTAGTAGTTGTTAATATAGTTGTGGTTGTTGTGCTAGTTGTGGTGGTGGTTGTGGTGGTTGTTGAAGTGGTTGTTAATATAGTTGTGGTGGTGGTTGTGCTAGTTGTGGTGGTTGTGGAGGTGGTTGTTAATATAGTTGTGGTGGTTGTGGTGGTTGTTGTGGTTGTTGTAGTGGTTGTTAATATAGTTGTGGCGGGTGTGGAGGTGGTTTTGCTAGTTGTGGTGGTGGTTGTGGAGATGGTTGTTGTAGTGGTTGTTAATATAGTTGTGGTGGTTGTGGTTGTTGTGCTAGTTGTGGTGGTTGTGGTGGTTGTGGTGGTGGTTGTAGTGGTTGTTAATATAGTTGTGGTGGGTGTGGAGGTGGTTGTGCGAGTTGTCGTGGTGGTTGTTGTTGTTGTTGTTAATAAAGTTGTGGTGGATGTGGTGGTGGTTGTGCTAGTTGTGGTGGTTGTGGAGGTGGTTGTTGTTAATATAGTTGTGGTGGTTGTGGTTGTTGTGCTAGTTGTGGTGGTGGTTGTGGTGGTGGTTGTGGGTTGTTGTTGTCAAACTCCAACTGCGGCAGAGAGGCATCAAGGGGAGGGGATCCCAGACCACCACAGCCCAAACAGACCTGGGGAGAGACACAGTCAGACACAGTCAGTTACACAGTCAGACACAGTCAGACACACAGTCAGACACAGTCAGACACACAGTCAGACACAGTCACACACACACAGTCAGACACAGTCAGACACACAGTCACACAGTCAGTCAGACACACAGTCAGACACAGTCAGACACACAGTCAGACACAGTCACACACGCACAGTCAGACACAGTCAGACACACAGTCACACAGTCAGTCAGACACACAGTCAGACACAGTCAGACACACAGTCAGACACAGTCACACACACACAGTCAGACACACAGTCAGACACACAGTCAGACACAGCCAGACACAGTCACACAGTTACACACACAGTCAGACACAGTCAGACACACAGTCACATAGAGTCACACACAGTCAGACACACAGTCACATAGAGTCACACACACACAGTTACACAGTCAGTTACACAGTCAGACACACAGTCACACACACAGTCAGACACAGTCACACAGTCAGTTACACACACACACACAGTTACACACAGTCAAACACACAGTCACACAGTCACACACAGTCAGACACAGTCACACACACAGTTACACACAGTCACACAGTTACACACAGTCGCACACACAGTTACACACACAGTGACACACAGTCACACAGTCAGTTACAGTGACACACAGTCACACAGTCACACACACACACAGTTACACACAGTCACACAGTGACACACAGTCACACACACAGTTACACACACAGTTACACACAGTCACACACACACAGTTACACACAGTCACACACACAGTTACACACACAGTTACACACAGTCACACACAGTCAGACACAGTCACACAGTCAGTTACACACACACACATAGTTACACACAGTCACACACAGTCACACACAGTTACACACAGTCACACACAGTCACACAGTCAGTTACACACAGTCACACAGTCAGTTACACACAGTCACAGTCACACACAGTCAGACAGTCAGACACACAGTCACACACAGTCAGTTACACACACACACACAGCTACACACAGTAACACAGTCAGACACAGTCAGTTACACACAGTCAGTTACACACACACAGTTACATACAGTCACACACAGTCACAATTACACAGACACACACACAGACACACACAGTCACACACAGACACACACACACAGTCACACACACAGACACACACACACACATAGACACACACACACACAGTCACACACACAGTCACACACAGTCACACACAGACACACACAGACATACACACACAGTCACACACACACAGTCACACACACACACACAGACACACTTAGACGTAGATGATGATGTTGGTGATGTTGGTGATGATGGTGATGTTGGTGATGATGATGATGAGGTTGGTGATGTTGGTGATGATCGTAGTGATGGTGATGATGGTAGTGATGGTGATGATGGTAGTGATGGTGATGATGGTAGTGATGTTGGTGATGGTGATGATGGTAGTGATGGTGATGTTGATGATGATGATGGTAGTGATGGTGATGATGGTGATGATGGTAGTGATGATGGTGACGGTGATGATGGTAGTGATGGTGATGATGGTACTGATGGTGATGATGGTACTGATGGTGATGATGGTAGTGATGATGGTAGTGATGGTGATGATGGTAGTGATGGTGATGTTGGTAACGGTGATGATGGTAGTGATGATGTTGGTGATGTTGGTGATAGTGATGATGGTAGTGATGGTGATTATGGTAGTGATGGTGATGATGGTAGTGATGATGTTGGTGACGGTGATGATGGTAGTGATGGTGATGATTGTAGTGATGATGTTGATGATGTTGGTGACAGTGATGATGGTAGTGATGGTGATGATGGTAGTGATGATGTTGGTGATGTTGGTGTTGGTGATGTTGGTGATGTTGGTGACGGTGATGATGGTAGTGATGGTAGTGATGATGATGATGTTGGTGATGATGGTAGTGATGATGTTGATGATGACGATGTTGGTGGTGATGATGATGTTGATGATGACGATGTTGGTGGTGATGTTGATGATGATGTTGGTGATGGTGACGATGGTAGTGATGATGTTAATGATGTTGGTGATGGTGGTGATGCAGTAACGCTACCGACGTGTTGAGAGAACTTGGCAAAGTGCCTTGACCAAGCCAGTGGTGGATGGCAGACAGCTCACGGCGCTGAGATTCGGTGAATCTGGGCTGGAGAGGCACCACGGAGAGTAGCCAGGCCCGGTCAGAGGATAACACGGACATCCAGGGCCTGCAGACACAACATCAACAACATCAACATCATCAACAACATCAACATCATCAACAACATCAACATCATCATCAACATCATCATCACCATCATCACCATCAACAGCATCACTACCATCAACATCACCAACATCATCACTACCATCAACATCATCACCACCATCATCATCAACATCATCACCATCAACGTCATCATCACCATCAACATCATCATCACCATCATCATCACCATCACTACCATCAACATCATCAACATCACCATCATCACCATCATCATCATCATCACCATCATCATCACCACCGTCCACCACCACCACCACCATCACCACCACCATCTCCACCATCACCACCACCACCATCACTATCTCCACCATCACCACCATCACCACCACCATCACCACCACTACCACCATCATCATCATCACCATCACCACTATCACCACCATCACCACTATCACCACCATCATCACCACCATCACCACCACTATCACCACCATCACCACCACCACCATCACCACCACCATTATCACCACCACCACCACCATCATCACCACCACCACCACCATCACCACCATTATCACCACCACCACCACTATCATCATCACCAACACCATCACCACCACCACCATCATCAACACCACCATCATCACCATCACCACCATCACCACCACCACCATCACCACCATCATCATCACCACCACCATCACCACCACCACCACCACCATCACCACCATCACCACCACCACCATTATCACCACCACCATCACCACCATTATCACCACCACCATCACCACCACCATCACCACCACCATCACCACCACCACCACCATCATCACCACCACCACCACCACCATTATCACCACCACCATCATCACCACCACTATCACCACCACCACCATCACCACCACCATCACCACCATCACCACTACCACCACCATCACTCACCCGGTAGGCAGCTGGTCACCAAAGAACTCCATCTCCTCCTCCACCTTGCAGTGATCCACAAATCTCTGTGGCTCAGGGTCAGCCCGAAAGCAGCCATGCCCATCATCATCATCACCACCATCACCTTCACCACCATCACCTTCACCACCATCACCGGTATCACCATCATCACCATCACCACTGATGTCACCTGCAACGGCAGTGATGGGGTGAGTGAGTGAGTGAGTGGGTGAGTGTGTGAGTGGATGGGTGGGTGAGTGAGTGAGTGTGTGAGTGAGTGGGTGGGTGAGTGAGTGAGTGTGTGAGTGAGTGAGTGGGTGAGTGAGTGGGTGAGTCGGTGAGTGAGTGAGTGGGTGAGTGAGTGAGTGAGTGGGTGAGTGAGTGGATGAGTCGGTGAGTGAGTGAGTGAGTGGGTGAGTGAGTGAGTGGGCGGGTGAGTGGGTGCGTGAATGGGTGGGTGAGTGAGTGAGTGGGTGAGTGAGTGAATGAGTGGGGGAGTGAGTGGGTGGGTGAGTGGGTGACTGAGTGACTGAGTGAGTGACTGAGTGAGTAAGTGACTGAGTGATTGACTGAGTGAGTGAGTGACTGAGTGACTAAGTGAGTGAGTGAGTGGGTGAGTGAGTGAGTGAGTGAGTGACTGAGTGACTGAGTGACTGACTGACTGAGTGACTGAGTGAGTGACTGAGTGACTGACTGACTGAGTGACTGACTAAGTGAGTGAGTGAGTGACTGACTAAGTGAGTGAGTGTGTGAGTGAGTGACTGAGTGAGTGAGTGGGTGAGTGACTGAGTGTGTGAGTGAGTGAGTGAGTGACTGAGTGAGTGAGTGGGTGAGTGACTGAGTGGGTGAGTGACTGAGTGGGTGAGTGACTGAGTGGGTAAGTGAGTGAGTTGGTGAGTGAGTGAGTGAGTGGGTGAGTGACTGAGCTACCTGTGAGTGAGCACCGCTGATCACCACCTCCTACTCCACCTTCTCCACCACCTCCTCCTCCACCCCCTCCTCGTCCCATGCAGCTCTCCAGGTACCTGTGTTAGATTCACGATTACAGACACATAGAGACACCCAGACCCAGGGCTCGAACCCAGACTCTCAGTGTCTCTGACACGGCCATCGTGATAGAGACACCCAGAGCCAGGGATTGAACCCAGACTCTCAGTGTCTCTGACACGGCCATCGTGATAGAGACACCCAGACCCAGGGCTCGAACCCAGACTCTCAGTGTCTCTGACACGGCCATCGTGATAGAGACACCCAGACCCAGGGAGTGAACCCAGACTCTCAGGGTCTCTGACACGGCTATCGTGATAGAGACACCCAGACCCAGGGCTCGAACCCAGACTCTCAGTGTCTCTGACACGGCCATCGTGATAGAGACACCCAGACCCAGGGATTGAACCCAGACTCTCAGGGTCTCTGACACGGCCATCGTGATAGAGACACCCAGACCCAGGGATTGAACCCAGACTCTCAGTGTCTCTGACACGGCCATCGTGATAGAGACACCCAGACCCAGGGATTGAACCCAGACTCTCAGTGTCTCTGACACGGCCATCGTGATAGAGAGACACCCAGACCCAGGGCTTGAACCCAGACTCTCAGTGTCTCTGACACGGCCATCGTGATAGAGAGAGACACCCAGACCCAGGGCTCGAACCCAGACTCTCAGTGTCTCTGACACGGCCAGCGTGATAGAGACACCCAGACCCAGGGATTGAACCCAGACTCTCAGGGTCTCTGACACGGCCATCGTGATAGAGACACCCAGACCCAGGGATTGAACCCAGACTCTCAGTGTCTCTGACACGGCCATCGTGATAGAGAGAGACACCCAGACCCAGGGATTGAACCCAGACTCTCAGTGTCTCTGACACGGCCATCGTGATAGAGACACCCAGACCCAGGATTGAACCCAGACTCTCAGTGTCTCTGACACGGACATCGTGATAGAGACACCCAGACCCAGGGCTCGAACCCAGACTCTCAGTGTCTCTGACACGGACATCGTGATAGAGACACCCAGACCCAGGGATTGAACCCAGACTCTCAGGGTCTCTGACATGGCCATCGTGCACCCTCGCCACACCTGATGATGCTGTGGATGGAGTTGATCTGCTGGTAGGAGGCTCCACTTGGACTCCGCTCCGGGCTCTCGATACGATCTACTAGCGGGGGTGGACGGGGAACACAGGGAGGATAAGTCACTCACTTAGTCACTCACTCAGTCAGTCACTCAGTCACTCACTCAGTCAGTCACTCAGTCACTCACTCAGTCACTCACTCAGTCACTTACTCACTCACTCACCCACTGACTCAGTCACTCACCCACTCACTCACCCACCCACTCACTCACTCACCCACTGACTCAGTCACTCACCCACTCACTCAGTCACTCAGTCACTCACTCACCCACCCACCCACCCACTCACCCACTCACTCACTCACTCACCCACTCACCCACTCACTCACCCACTCACTCACTCACTCACCCACTCACCCACTCACCCACTCACCCACTAACTCACTCACCCACCCACCCACTCACTCACCCACCCACCCACCTAACCACCCACTCACCCACCCACTCACCCACTCACCCACTCACTCACTCACCCACCCACCCACCCATCCACCCACTCACCCACTCACTCACCCACCCACTCACTCACCCACTCACTCACCCACTCACCCACCCACCCACTCACCACCCACCCACTCACTCACTCACTCACCCACCCACTCACTCACCCACTCACCCACTCACTCACCCACTCACCCACCCACCCACTCACCACCCACCCACTCACTCACTCACCCACCCACTCACTCACTCACCCACCCACTCACTCACCCACTCACTCACCCACTCACCCACCCACCCACTCACCACCCACCCACTCACTCACTCACCCACCCACTCACTCACTCACCCACCCACTCACTCACTCACCAACTCACCCTCACCTACCGTGCGTGCGTTTTCGAGATCTCATGGAGGAGGAGGAGGTGGTGGACGAGGTGGAGGTGGTGGAGGTGGTGGAGGTGGAGGAGGTGGAGGAGGAGCTAGAGGAGGAGGAGGTGGACGAGGTGGTGGTGACCACCTGGTGGCCGTGCATCTTCAGTCCACTCAGCTCGCTACAGAGCACCTGGAGGGTGAGGGGGTGGGTGGGTGGGTGAGTGAGTGGGTGGGTGAGTGGGTGAGTGGGTGGGTGAGTGAGTGGGTGAGTGGGTGGGTGAGTGGGTGGGTGAGTTAGTGGGTGAGTGAGTGGGTGAGTGAGTGGGTGAGTGGGTGGGTGGGTGAGTGGGTGGGTGAGTGGGTGAGTGGGTGGGTGAGTGAGTGGGTGAGTGGGTGGGTGAGTGGGTGAGTGGGTGAGTGGGTGGGTGAGTGAGTGGGTGAGTGGGTGGGTGGGTGAGTGGGTGGGTGAGTGAGTGGGTGAGTGGGTGGGTGGGTGGGTGAGTGTGTGGGTGAGTGGGTGAGTGGGTGGGTGAGTGAGTGGGTGGGTGGGTGAGTGGGTGAGTGGGTGGGTGGGTGAGTGGGTGAGTGGGTGGGTGTGTGGGTGAGTGGGTGAGTGGGTGGGTGGGTGAGTGGGTGAGTGAGTGGGTGAGTGAGTGGGTGGGTGGGTGAGTGGGTGAGTGTGTGGGTGAGTGGGTGAGTGGGTGGGTGAGTGAGTGAGTGGGTGGGTGAGTGGGTGGGTGGGTGAGTGGGTGGGTGTGTGGGTGAGTGGGTGGGTGGGTGAGTGAGTGGGTGAGTGGGTGAGTGGGTGAGTGAGTGGGTGGGTGAGTGGGTGGGTGGGTGGGTGAGTGAGTGAGTGAGTGGGTGAGTGGGTGAGTGAGTGGGTGGGTGAGTGGGTGAGTGAGTGGGTGAATGAGTGGGTGAGTGGGTGAGTGGGTGGGTGAGTGGGTGAGTGAGTGCGTGGGTGAGTGGGTGAGTGAGTGGGTGAGTGAGTGGGTGGGTGGGTGGGTGAGTGAGTGAGTGGGTGAGTGGGTGAGTGGGTGGGTGAGTGGGTGAGTGAGTGGGTGAGTGAGTGGGTGGGTGAGTGGGTGGGTGAGTGGGTGAGTGAGTGGGTGAGTGGGTGGGTGAGTGAGTGAGTGGGTGAGTGAGTGGGTGAGTGAGTGAGTGGGTGGGTGGGTGAGTGAGTGAGTGAGTGGGTGGGTGAGTGGGTGGGTGAGTGAGTGAGTGGGTGGGTGAGTGAGTGACTGACTGAGTGACTGAGTCAGTGACTGAGTGAGTAACTGACTGAATGAGTGACTGAATGACTGACTGAGTGACTGAGTGAGTGACTGACTGAGTGACTGAGTGAGTGACTGAGTGAGTGACTGAGTGACTGAATGACTGACTGAGTCAGTGACTGAGTGAGTGACTGACTGAGTGAGTGACTGAGTGACTGAATGACTGACTGAGTCAGTGACTGAGTAAGTGACTGACTGAGTGGCTGAGTGAGTGACTGAGTGACTGACTGAGTGAGTGACTGAGTGAGTGACTGACGGAGTGGCTGAGTGACTGAGTGAGTGACTGAGTGAGTGAGTGAGTGACTGAATGACTGACTGAGTGACTGAGTGACTGACTGAGTGAGTGGCTGAGTGAGTGGCTGAGTGACTGAGTGAGTGACTGAGTGAGTGACTGAGTGAGTGAGTGACTGAATGACTGACTGAGTGACTGACTGAGTGAGTGGCTGAGTGAGTGACTGAGTGAGTGAGTGAGTGACTGAGTGAGTGACTGACTGACTCACCGGCTGATGCTGAGAGCCTCTCTCTGTTGCGATGCGACGCTGCTGATGGTGGTGGCTGAGGTGGTTGTTGCCGTGATTGTTGTTGTTGTTGTTGTGGTGGTGGGGAGTGATCGCTCCATCTCCACGAGAGAGGTGCAAACTCCTGTGCACAGGCTGAGAGAGTGACGTGTTTCACTCAGTCATTCACTCAGTCACTCACTCAGTCACTCAGTCATTCACTCAGTCACTCACTCAGTCACTCAGTCATTCACTCAGTCACTCACTCAGTCACTCAGTCATTCACTCAGTCACTCACTCAGTCACTCACTCAGTCAGTCACTCACTCAGTCACTCACTCAGACACTCAGTCAGTCACTCAGTCAGTCACTCACTCAGTCACTCACTCAGACACTCAGTCAGTCATTCAGTCAGTCACTCACTCAGTCACTCACTCACTCAGTCACTCACTCAGACACTCAGTCAGTCACTCGGTCAGTCACTCACTCAGTCACTCAGTCAGTCACTCACTCAGTCACTCACTCACACACTCATTCACTCACTCACTCAGTTACTCACTCAGTTACTCACTCAGTCACTCACTCACTCAGTCACTCACTCAGACACTCAGTCAGTCACTCAGTCAGTCACTCACTCAGTCACTCACTCAGACACTCAGTCAGTCACTCAGTCAGTCACTCAGTCAGTCACTCACTCAGTCACTCACTCAGTCAGTCACTCACTCAGTTACTCAGTCACTCACTCACTCACACACTCATTCACTCACTCACTCAGTTAATCAGTCACTCACTCAGTCACTCACTCAGTCACTCACCCACTCAATCACTCAGTCAGTCACTCAGTCAGTCACTCACTCAATCAGTCACTCAGTCACTCACCCACTCAGTCAGTCACTCAGTCAGTCACTCACTCAATCAGTCACTCAGTCAGTCACTCAGTCAGTCACTCACTCAGTTACTCAGTCACTCACTCAGTCACTCACTCACACACTCATTCACTCACTCAGTTACTCAGTCACTCACTCAGTCACTCACTCAGTCACTCACTCAGTCACTCACCCACTCAATCACTCAGTCAGTCACTCACTCAATCAGTCACTCACCCACTCAGTTAGTCACTCACTCAGTCACTCACTCAATCAGTCACTCACTCAGTCACTCACTCACTCACTCAGTCACTCACTCACTCAGTCAGTCACTTAATCACTCACACACACACTCACTCACCCACCCACTCAGTCACTCACTCAGAAACTCACTCAGTCAGTCACTCACTCAATCACTCACACACTCACCCACTCAGTCACTCAGTCACTCACTCAGAAACTCAGTCAGTCACTCAGTCAGTCACTCACTCAATCACTCACACACTCACTCACTCAGTCACTCACTCACAGAGCGATCACTCCCAAACACCATCACCACCATCATCACCATCATCCCCATCATCACCATCACCACCATCACCTGCAGCAGGAGCTTCTCGATCTCCTCTTGCAGTGCCCGGATGTCTCCCCCATCACCATCATCACCACCATCACCACCATCACCATCACCACAATCACCACCATCACGGCCGAGGTGACCGGGAGTCGAACCCAGGCATGGAGCAAACACGTCCAGTGTGGACGGACGCCTGAACAGACACACAGTGAGTGAGTGAGTGGGTGAGTGGGTGAGTGAGTGGGTGAATGAGTGAGTGAGTGGGTGAGTGAGTGAGTGGGAGAGTGAGTGGGTGGGTGAGTGGGTGAGTGAGTGGGTGAGTGAGTGAGTGAGTGGGTGAGTGGGTGGGTGAGTGGGTGAGTGAGTGGGTGAATGAGTGAGTGAGTGGGTGAGTGAGTGAGTGGGTGAGTGAGTGGGTGGGTGAGTGGGTGAGTGAGTGGGTGAGTGAGTGAGTGGGTGAGTGAGTGGGTGAGTGAGTGTGTGGGTGAGTGAGTGGCTGAGTGGGTGAGTGAGTGAGTGAGTAGGTGAGTGAGTGGGTGAGTGAGTGGGTGAGTGAGTGGGTGAGTGAGTGGGTGAATGAGTGAGTGAGTGGGTGAGTGAGTGAGTGGGAGAGTGAGTGGGTGGGTGAGTGGGTGAGTGAGTGGGTGAGTGAGTGAGTGAGTGGGTGAGTGAGTGGGTGGGTGAGTGTGTGGGTGAGTGAGTGGCTGAGTGGGTGAGTGAGTGAGTGAGTAGGTGAGTGAGTGAGTGGGTGAGTGAGTGGGTGAGTGAGTGGGTGAGTGAGTGGGTGGCTGAGTGGGTGAGTGAGTAGGTGAGTGAGTAGGTGAGTGAGTGGGTGAGTGAGTGGGTGAGTGTGTGGGTGAGTGAGTGAGTGAGTGAGTGGATGAGTGAGTGAGTGTGTGGGTGAGTGAGTGAGTGTGTGAGCGAGTGTGTGAGTGAGTGGGTGAGTGGGTGGGTGAGTGAGTGAGTGTGTGGGTGAGTGAGTGTGTGGGTGAGTGGGTGAGTGAGTGGGTGAGTGGGTGAGTGTGTGGGTGAGTGAGTGGGTGAGTGGGTGAGTGAGTGTGTGAGTGAGTGAGTGTGTGGGTGAGTGAGTGGGTGAGTGAGTGTGTGTGAGTGTGTGGGTGAGTGAGTGGCTGAGTGAGTGAGTGAGAGGGTGATTGAGTGGGTGATTGAGTGGCTGAGTGAGTGGCTGAGTGAGTGAGTGGCTGAGTGAGTGAGTGAGTGGCTGAGTGAGTGAGTGGCTGAGTCAGTGGATGTGTGACTGAGTGAGTGAGTGACTAAATGAGTGAGTGGCTGAGTGAGTGAGTGGCTGAGTGAGTGAGTGTCTGAGTGAGTGGCTGAGTGAGTGACTGTCTGAGTGAGTGTCTGAGTGAGTGTCTGAGTGAGTGGATGAGTGAGTGGCTGAGTGAGTGGCTGAGTGAGTGAGTGACTGAGTGAGTGAGTGGCTGAGTGAGTGTCTGAGTGAGTGTCTGAGTGAGTGGATGAGTGAGTGGCTGAGTGAGTGGCTGAGTGAGTGAGTGGCTGAGTGAGTGGATGAGTGAGTGAGTGAGTGACTAAATGAGTGAGTGTCTGAGTGAGTGGCTGAGTCAGTGGCTGTGTGACTGAGTGAGTGACTAAATGAGTGAGTGTCTGAGTGAGTGGCTGAGTGAGTGAGTGGCTGAGTCAGTGGCTGTGTGACTGAGTGAGTGAGTGACTAAATGAGTGAGTGTCTGAGTGAGTGTCTGAGTGAGTGTCTGAGTGAGTGGCCGAGTGAGTGTCTGAGTGAGTGGCCGAGTGAGTGTCTGAGTGAGCTCCGCACCTGGTGGTGAGCACGTGGTGTCTGCCAGTGAGGAGCTCCACCTTGCGGCTCCAGGGACTGACACGGGCCCACCACGACGAGTCCAGAGTAGCGAAACCGCCTGCCTGAGTCCGTACCCGCAGGGTGGTGTGGTGCAGGGGGCCACCACCGCCACCACCACCACCACCACCGCTCACAACTAGAGCGGGGAGGGGGAAGAATGGAGGTGAGTGAGTGAGTGGGTGAGTGGGTGGGTGAGTGGGTGAGTGAGTGAGTGAGTGGGTGAGTGGGTGGGTGAGTGAGTGGGTGAGTGAGTGGGTGAGTGGGTGGGTGAGTGGGTGGGTGAGTGGGTGGGTGAGTGGGTGGGTGAGTGGGTGAGTGAGTGAAAGGCTGAGTGAGTGAGTGGGTGAGTGAGTGAGTGGGTGAGTGAGTGGGTGAGTGAGTGGGTGAGTGAGTGGGTGGGTGGGTGAGTGAGTGAGTGGGTGAGTGGGTGGGTGAGTGGGTGAGTGAGTGAGTGAGTGGGTGAGTGGGTGGGTGAGTGAGTGGGTGAGTGAGTGGGTGAGTGGGTGAGTGAGTGGGTGGGTGAGTGGGTGGGTGAGTGGGTGGGTGGGTGGGTGAGTGAGTGAAAGGCTGAGTGAGTGAGTGGGTGAGTGAGTGAGTGGGTGAGTGAGTGGGTGAGTGAGTGGGTGAGTGAGTGGGTGGGTGGGTGAGTGAGTGAGTGAGTGGGTGAGTGAGTGGGTGAGTGAGTGAGTGGGTGAGTGTCTGAGTGAGTGGCTGAGTGAGTGAGTGGGTGAGTGAGTGGGTGAGTGAGTGAGTGGGTGGGTGAGTGGGTGAGTGAGTGGGTGAGTGAGTGAGTGGGTGAGTGAGTGGGTGGGTGAGTGAGTGGGTGAGTGAGTGGGTGGGTGAGTGAGTGGGTGAGTGAGTGGGTGAGTGAGTGGGTGAGTGGGTGGGTGAGTGGGTGGGTGAGTGAGTGGGTGGGCGAGTGAGTGGGTGAGTGAGTGGGTGAGTGAGTGGATGAGTGAGTGGGTGAGTGAGTGGGTGAGTGAGTGGGTGGGTGAGTGGGTGAGTGAGTGGGTGGGTGAGTGAGTGGGTGAGTGAGTGGGTGGGTGAGTGGGTGAGTGGGTGAGTGAGTGGGTGAGTGGGTGAGTGAGTGGGTGAGTGGGTGAGTGAGTGGGTGGGTGAGTGAGTGGGTGAGTGAGTGGGTGGGTGAGTGGGTGAGTGGGTGAGTGAGTGGGTGAGTGGGTGAGTGAGTGGGTGAGTGGGTGAGTGAGTGGGTGAGTGAGTGGTTGGGTGAGTGAGTGGGTGAGTGGGTGGGTGAGTGAGTGAGTGAGTGGGTGGGTGAGTGAGTGGGTGAGTGGGTGGGTGAGTGAGTGAGTGTCTGAGTGAGTGAGTGTCTGAGTGAGTGAGTGACTCACTGCGCCGATGAAGATTGAGGATGAGTGCGTGATCCGAGGGGTGAATGTACGACAGCAGGGACGATCCCACTAGCTCCTGCGGTAGGAACCCCAACAGAGGGACAGCCCTGGACACACACAGACACACACAGAGACACACAGAGACACACAGAGACACACACAGACACACAGATACAGAGACACACACAGACACACACAGAGACACACACAGACACACAGATACAGAGACACACACAGAGACACACAGAGACACACAGAGACACACACAGACACACAGATACAGAGACACACACAGACACACACAGAGACACACAGAGACACACAGAGATACAGAGACACACACAGACACACAGAGTTACAGAGATACACAGAGACACACACAGACACACAGAGACACAGAGATACAGAGACACACAGACACACACAGAGACACAGAGACACACAGAGATACAGAGACACACACAGACACACAGAGTTACAGAGATACACAGAGACACACACAGACACACAGAGACACAGAGATACAGAGACACACAGAGACACACAGAGATACAGAGACACACAGAGACACACACAGACACAGAGACACACAGAGATACAGAGACACACACAGACACACAGAGATACAAAGACACACACAGAGACACAGAGAGACACAGAGACACACACAGAGACACAGACTCACTCACTCACTCACACAGAGACACACAGACGCACTCACACACACAGACTCACTCACTCACTCACACACACAGACTCACTCACTCACACACACAGACTCACTCACTAACTCACACAGAGACACACAGACTCACTCACTCACACACACAGAGACACACAGACTCACTCACTCACTCACACAGAGACACACAGACTCACTCACTCACACAGAGACACACAGTCTCACTCACTCACTCACACAGAGACTCACAGACTCACTCACTCACTCACACAGAGACACACAGACTCACTCACTCACACAAAGACACACAGACTCCCTCACTCACACACACAGACTCACTCACTCACACAGAGACACATAGACACACAGACTCACTCACACAGAGACACACAGACTCACTCACACACTCACACAGAGACACACAGACTCACTCACTCACACACACAGACTCACTCACTCACACAGAGACACACAGACTCACTCACTCACTCACACACACAGACTCACTCACTCACTCACACAGAGACACACAGACTCACTCACACAGAGACACACAGACTCACTCACTCACACACACAGACTCACTCACTCACACAGAGACACATAGACTCACTCACTCACACACAGAGACTCACTCACTCACTCACACAGAGACACACAGACTCACTCACTCACTCACACAGAGACACACACTCACTCACTCACACAGAGACACACAGACTCACTCACACAGAGACACACAGACTCACTCACTCACACACAGACTCACTCACTCACACAGAGACACACAGTCTCACTCACTCACTCACACAGAGACTCACAGACTCACTCACTCACTCACACAGAGACTCACAGACTCACTCACTCACACACAGACTCACTCACTCACACAGAGACACACAGTCTCACTCACTCACTCACACAGAGACTCACAGACTCACTCACTCACTCACACAGAGACACACAGACTCACTCACTCACACAAAGACACACAGACTCCCTCACTCACACACACAGACTCACTCACTCACACAGAGACACATAGACACACAGACTCACTCACACAGAGACACACAGACTCACTCACACACTCACACAGAGACACACAGACTCACTCACTCACACACACAGACTCACTCACTCACACAGAGACACACAGACTCACTCACTCACTCACACACACAGACTCACTCACTCACTCACACAGAGACACACAGACTCACTCACACAGAGACACACAGACTCACTCACTCACACACACAGACTCACTCACTCACACAGAGACACATAGACTCACTCACTCACACACAGAGACTCACTCACTCACTCACACAGAGACACACAGACTCACTCACTCACTCACACAGAGACACACAGACTCACTCACTCACACAGAGACACACAGACTCACTCACACAGAGACACACAGACTCACTCACTCACACACACAGACTCACTCACTCACACACAGACACACAAACTCACTCACACACACAGAGACACACACAGACTCACTCACACACAGAGACACACAGACTCACTCACTCACACACACATAGACTCACTCACTCACACAGAGA